AAAAAATATATTTATTAATTGATATAAAAGGGTTTTATCTATACAAATTAAACACTAAAATCTACATAATAAAATTTAAATTAAATTATTTATTATTATGAATTTTTTAATAAAAGAAAATCTAATTAGACAAGAATTATTAATATAAAAAATATTTATTAACTGATATATAAAATAAAATAATATTTCTAAATCTCTACAACAAATTAGCTTTTATTATGAGTTTCTTAATAAAATTAAATCTAATTATATAAGGATATATTTAAAGAAAGTAAAATAATTTCTATAAAAATCTATCACAAATTACCTAATTTATTTCCAATAAAACCCTATCATACTAGACAAAGATATATTTAAAGAATTTCTATAAAAACACTACCATAAATTACCTATTTATATATTTAATTTGAGTTTTTTAATAAAATGAAATCTAATTAGACAAGTATTATTAATTTTAAAAAATATTTATTAATTGATATTAAAAGAGGTTCATAAGAGTTTCTATAAAACTCTAACATAAATTACCTATTTATCTATTTATTATGAGTTTTTTTAATAAAAGTAAATCTAATTAGACAAGAACTATTAAAATAAAAAATATTTATCAATTGATATAAAAAGAATTTTTAAAAGAGTTTATATTAAACTCTAAAAAAAATTACCTACTTATTTATTTATTAGAAGTTTTTTAATTAAAGATAATCTAATTAGACAAGAATTATTAATATAAAAATATTTTTTAATTGATATAAAAAATAAAATAATTTTTCTAAAACTCTTTCACAAATTACCTTTTATTATGGGTTTTTTTTTTTTTTTTTTTTTTAATAAAAGCTAATCTAATTTGACAATAATTATTAAAATAAAAAAAATATTCATTAATTCATATAAAAAGAGTTTTAAAAATGTTTTCTACAAAACTCTAACACGTATTACCTATTTATCTATTTATTATGAGTTTTTTTAGTAAAAAAAAATATAATTAAACAATAATATATTTAAAGAAAATAAAAATTTTCTATAAAATCTATCACAAATTAGCTAACTCTAAAATCTACCTAATAAAATTCAAATTAACCTATTTATCTATTTATTATTATGATTTTTTTAATAAAAAAATCTAATAAGACAATAATTATTTATACAAAAAATAATTATTCATTGATATATAAAATAAATTGATTTTTCTAAAACTCTACCACAAATTAGTTTTTATTACGAGTTTCTTAATAAAATGAAATTAAATTAGATAAGGATATATTTAAAGAAAATAAAATAATTTCTATAAAATCTACCACAAATTAGCTTTTATTATGAGTTTTTCATAAAAAGAAATCTAATTAGATAAATATTATGAATATACAAAATTATTTATTAATTAATATAAAAAGAGGTTTTCAAAGAGTTTTATAAAACTATAACACAAATTACCTATTTATTATGAGTTTTTTAATAAAAAGAAATCTAATTAGGCTAGAATTATTAATATAAAAAATATTTATTAATTGATATAAAATGAGTTTTTAAAAGAATTTATATTAAACTATAACACAAATTACCTATTTATTTATTTATTATAAAATATTTACTAATTGATATAAAGAGCAAATATAAAAAACAGAATATAGAAGCTCTGCCAAAGAGTTTCATAATTTATTTATTTATATAAAAATATTTATTAAATGTGCAAAGAGTCTCAGTATTTCAGTATTTATATATTTGTATAAAAAATATTTATTAATTGATATTAAAGGAGTTTTTATAAGGAAAAAAAAAAAAAAAAAAAACTCTGTAAAACTCTAAAATCTGCTTAATAAAATTAAAATTAACCTATTTATCTATTAATTATTTTGAATTTTTTAATAAAAGAAAATCTAAAGTTTTAATATTTATTTATTTATATAAAAAATATTTATTAAATGTGCAAAGAGTTTCAGTATTTCAGTATTTATTTGTTGATATAAATAAATATTTATTAATTGATATGAAAAGAGTTTTCATAAATAAAAAAAAAATTCTATAAAACTCTAAAATACGCCTAATAAAATTCAAATTAACCTATTTATTATTATGAATTTTTTAACAAAAGAAAATCTAATTTTCAGAGTAAAATACAGAAGTTCTGTGTTTCAGTATTTATTTATTTATATTAAAAAATATTTATTAATTCATATTAAAATAATTTTTATCTATACTATTATTAAATGTGCAAAGAGTTTCAGTATTTAAGTATCTATTTATATAAAAATATATATATATTTATTAATTGATATGAAATTTTTTTTCTAAAAAATAAATAAATAGATAAATAAACTTTATCAAACTCTAAAAACTATCTAATAAAATTTAAATTATCCTATTTATCTATTTATTATTATGAATTTTTTAATAAAAGAAAATCTAATTAGACAAGAATTATTAATGTAAAAAATATTTATTAATTTACATATAAAATAAAATAATTTTTCTAAAACTCTATCACAAATTAACTTTTATTATGAGTTTCTTAATAAAATTAAATCTAATTAGACAATAATATATTTAAAGAAAATAAAATAATTTCTATAAAACTCTATCACAAATTACATATTTTATTTTTAAAAAAACTGTATCGTACTAGACAAAGATATAATATTTAAAGAGTTTCTATAAAATTCTAACACAAATTACCCATTTATATATTTATTAACAGTTTTTAATAAAAAGGAGATCTAATTAGACAAGTATTGTTAATATAAAATAATTATTTATTAATTGATCTAAAAAGAGGTTTTAAAAGAGTTTCTAGAAAACTCAAAAACAAATTTATCTACTATTATTATGAGTTTTTTAATAATAAGAAATCTAATTAGACAGGAATTATTAATATAAAAAATATTTATTAATTGATATAAAAAGAGTTTTTAAAAGAATTTATATTAAACTCTAACACAAATTATCTATTTATTTATTTATTATAAGTTTTTTAATAAACGAAAATCTAATTAGACTAAAAAACTCTACCACAAATTACCTATTTTATTTTCAATAAAATTATAATACATTAGAGAAAGATATATTTTAAGATTTTCTATAAAAACTTTAACACAAATTACCTATTTATCTATTTATTTTGAGTTTTTTAATGAAAGGAAATCTAATTAGACAAGTATTGTTAATATAAAAAATTATTTATTAACTGATATAAAAAGAGATTTTAAAAAAGTTTCTATAAAACTCTAACACAAATTATTTATTTATTTATTTATTGAAATCTAATTAGATAAGAATTATTAATATAAAAAAATATTTATTAATTGATATAAAAAGAGTTTTTTATAGGAGTTTCTATAAAATCTAAACACATATTATCTATTTATATATTTATTATGTGTTTTTTTTTAATAAAAGAAAATATAATTAAACAGCAATATATTTAAAGAAAATAAAATAATTTTTATAAAATCTTCCACAAATTGGTTGTTTTATTTTCTATAAAACTCTATCAGATTATTTACAAAACATTTAACACGTGCATCGCACGTGCCTTTTCTTAGTATATATATATATATGTAAGATTAAAATGCAAAAACTAATCAGCTCAATAGGTTTTTTATGTTTGCAATTAATTACTTCGGTTTTGTTACAGAGCTCTGATTTGATCAGTTATGGAGAACACTACACACCAATTTGTGTCAGTTCCAGTTCCAACGGGAACTCCTGCTGTGGAGGGAAAAATCTCCCTCCAATGAGAACTGTACACGTCATCGCAATGTAAATACCCATCACAAATGTCAGAGGCCCATCCTGCTCAAGGCCCAGTCCAAGCTCATTAACAGCCCAAAGTCATAAGACACTAACCCAAGGTCGCAGATAATTGATCTCTGTAGCATTGCTCAAGCCCGAAACAAGAGATCCAGCCCGTTAGCAATGTCACATGGATCAGGTTACTTATAGCCCAAATCCATTGTAAGGAAATTAGTCCTATTAGAAGAAGGATACAGCAAAGAAAGAAACTACTACACAAGGAAAATTATACAAAGGAATGAGCTCTATTTGTAAAGAATTTCTGTAGGGAAAGAATTGGAGGATAAGCAATGCGAGTCCTACTATAATTCAACCAATCTTTTGTGTATAAATAGAGGCCCAGACCTTCAATAAAAAAATCAAGCAATTCTACGCTTCTCTATACATTGTTCTTATTTATTCTTATTATTTTTTAGTGAGTTGTTTTATTTTTCTCAATCATTATTGGTTGAGCGAAATTTTGCACCTACACTTTGGCGCCGTCTGTGGGAAACGTGTGCAAATATATTCCCACTCTTGTTTTTTGTTTCACAAGTTAATCCTGCAGCTACCATCCAGAATGTCGAATGGAGGATCTTCAACGGATCAACAGACGGAGTTGATGCAGAAGATGCGTGAAGAGTTTCTACACCAGTTTGACGTACTTCGTCAGGCAAACGAAGCAAGCGTGGCTCAGATCGCCTTACTTCAACAGCAGAATAACACTCTGCAAACGACACTGGCTCAGTTGGAACCACCACCACCAGTGGGTGACACAGCAGCGCCCCCTAGTCAGAATATTCCTCCGATTACTGGACTACTGCCTGATGGGGCTCCACCTAATGGGGCATAACCCAATGAGGCTCAGCCGAATGAGGTTCAGCAACAACGGAGGGCAAGATCTGAGGCTGCGGCTTCAGATAACGTCCCTCATCGCATACAGGATGAGCAAGTCAAATCCAGCCATAAGCTTACGGTATGGTCCAATGAAATTCCAGATGGTGCAGGTGTTCAGGATGCCTTTGACGAGAAGAGACTCCTGAAGATTTAGACACCTGCCGAGATGGCTAGAGAACACAAAAATTCCTTGGTCAAAACTCATTTCATTGATGATGTGTATCTGGTTGAGAGGCCCAAGAAATTTACCATGCCTTCTTTCACCCAGTTTGATGGAACAGGGGATCCTTCTCGGCACCTAAATCATTACGCTCAAAAGATGGCTTTGGATGATCGTAATGACCCTTGGATATGCAGAGTTTACTACCAGTTTGACAGGAGCAGCACTAGAGTGGTTCAAGAATAGACCGCATAAGTCCATCCCAGATTACGTAACTCTATGCACCATGTTCTTGGCACAGTATTGCAGAAATAAGAAGCAAAAGAAGAGCATTGCCAGCCTCTTCACCGTAAGGCAAAAGGGGGGGGGGGAAACATTGCAGGATTTCTTGTCAAGATTCAACATGGAAGCCTCAGAAATAGCGGATTGTCATCCCGCAACTGCTATGAGACATTTAAACTCGTGATGATTCAGGGGACGAAGTTCCACACTTTCTTAGTCAAGTATTCTCCTCCCGACATGCAAACTCTCAATACCAGGGCCCAGATCTACATTCGGCTTGAGGAAAATATAACCCACCGAGCACAGCACGCCACCCTCGTGACAGTGGAAAACAAGCCTCGAGAAAGAGTTCCAACTCCAAAGATTTAAAAAAGCCAACGTTCCTTAACGCCGATCACCCAGGCACCTGAAAAAAGGCAAAGGGTAGAGGAAGGATTTACACCTCTCCGAACTACCTTGGCTCGGCTCTTCCAAGAGACTAAGATGAAGTTCACAACTCCGCAGCCAATAAAGTAACCCCTGGAGCAAAGGGACAAAAGCAAGCATTACGCTTTATCATCGAGATTATGGGCATTCAACCAATGATTGCAGATCACTCAGGTGACAGGTGGAGAATATGATCGCCAGAGGTGAGTTGATGGATTTCCTCATGACAAAGGAGTATGCAAAGCCCCGCGAGGTCTATCCCCGCAAGGTGGAAGATACGTAAGTAAAAGTCATCCATCCAATACATGGCAGGTCTGAAGATGATCAAGAGTCCGAGGAGGTATACAGATCCAGACTGAGGGTAGCCCACAAGCTCAGGAGGATATCCTCGGTCAGTGCTATCGCTTCGGGTAGCATCAGTATTGGATTCGGAGATGGCGACCTATCCAGAGTTCAACTCCCCCACGAGGATCCATTGGTCATCAATCTTTTAGTGGCCAATTGTATGATCCGGAGGGTTTTGATAGATCCAGGAAGTAGCGCCAACATAGTCACAAAGACGATCTTTGAGCAGCTAGAGATCCCGTCATCATCTATTCGACCTACCTCCAGCCCGTTGATGGGGTTCAATGGCACAAGAGTAGATCGCCTTGGAGTAATAGACTTGTCCGTAACCGCGGCGAAGAAGACTCAGAAGGAGAACTTTGTTTTAACAGAGATCCATCGTTCTTACAATCTCATCATGGGAAGAAGCTGAATACATCGGATGAGAAGAGTTCCGTCCACCCTTCACCAGGTGATGCGGTGCTTATCTCCGGATGGGAAATAAGTAATTAATCTGTGGGGCGATCAAGTCACAGCGAAGGAATGCTATATGTTGACACAAGTTGAAGCAAAGAGGGTGTTGACTCAACAGCAACTAGGTGTGGCTTCCAAAACTGGACCCAAATAGCAATTACAGAGCCCTCTGCCCAAGTATCTTAAGGTAAAGGAGGAAGAGGAAATTGCGAAGCCCACCGAGGAGACCCTTGAAGCTGTGGAAGTTTTCCTCGGCGACCCTCAGAAGGTTACCTATCTAGGCTCTTCCTCCACTTCCGAAGAAAAGGATGCGTTAATTGATGTTATCCGGAGCAATGCAGATGCCTTTGCGTGGGATCACTCGGACATGGTAGGGATCGATCCCTTAGCTTCCTGCCATAGTCTGAAGGTGAATCCGGAGTTCAAACCGGTTAAGCAGAAACACCGAAGGTTTGCCCCCCGTACGCAATCACATTATAGCTGAAGAAGTGAGCAAATTGTTTCAAACAGGTTTCATTCGAGAAGTGCAATATCCACAGTGGCTGTCAAACGTGGTAGTCGTACAAAAGAAGAATGGAAAATGGAGGGTTTGTGTAAACTATACCAACCTTAACAAAGCCTGTGTAATACCCCTAATTTTAAAAAGGATATTCCTGATATTTAATGGTATTTAATTTATTATTTAAGTGCATTTTATTTGATTATGTGTCATTATTTTTTTATTAGGTGCTTAATTGTTTTCTTTTGTGGTGATGTAATTTATTTAAATGATATTTATTTTTAGTTATTTGATTGGAATTACTTGTTAGTGTTTTAATTATTTAATTGGCATTAATGGTTTAAGTGTAATTTGTTTAGTTATTTGATTGGAATTACTCGTTAGTATTTTAATTATTTAATTGGCATAAATGGTTTAAGTGTAATTGGTTTAATTATTCTATGTGTGTCTTATTTTATGTGTGTCTTATTTGGTTTAATTGGATTTACTAATTATTATTTTGTTCAATTAGATTATTTGTTAAGTATTTAATGGTGAATAGGGTAATTAGGTAAATACATCTAACTAGGGTTTTAATTACAGTATAAATTAGGGCTTTATATTATAGCCGTTGTAGGTTTCTACGTTAATTGGATGGGCCGGTTAGGATTGTGAGTTGGACTTAAATGAACCTAGGGTTTAGGAAAACTCTATAAGTATAAGGTAGATGTCTGTGTAGGGTTTTTTTTAAACAAAGCACACATTTTGTGGAAGTGGAGAAGGAAAAACGCAGTTTTTCACATTCTGCCAAGGTTTGATCAAAGCTCCGATCCCGCTTCGTCCGTGGTCCAATCGAGCTGAATTTTGGAGGAGAGGTTCACGACTCAGTGACGCACAATCTGAACGGTGGAGATCAGAGTTTGACCTCGGGAACAGTGATTCGTACTCGTGAACAGTAACAGGGTCACACAGGTTTTTTTCCCATTCTGCCCAGATTTCATCAAACATCCGATCCCGCTTCGTCCGTGGTCCGATCGAGCTGAAATTTGGAGGATAGGTTCATGACTCAGTGTCGCACAATCTGAATGGTGAAGATCAGATTTTGAGTTCTGGAATAGTGTTTCGTACCCGTGAACAGTAACTAGGTTTTGGAACTCGCCAGGATTTTTTAAGAAGACGACGTTGAAACTTTGAACAAAAGTTTCTGAGGCAAGATTTTATCCTTACTCTTTCCCTTAGGCTTCATACTCTTTGCACTCTTAAATGATTCCAGGATTAATGAAGATTAAACCAAACTAAAATGATATCTGTTTTGCTATGAAACTGGTAGTTACAGTAGTGTTGTATGCTTGTTCAACCTAGACTAAGCATGTTTGTGGATGCATTGTGGTTCTGTGGTTCACGTTTTTCCTTACCACTGCTAGTATAAATTATTGGAAGGATGGGTCTAGATGATAGCTAGCTTAACTTCTGTAATAGCAACTGTTGGAACTTAAATACTAGGAGGATTTGAGTTTAACATTAGATCGGTTTTGTGGAACACTATAATTTGAGCATGTCTACATACATACTATGAATATTATTTTGATGCTTACATTATCACAGTTAGTATCAACTGTGGAGGTTAGGATTTTGTGATACATACCCTACATATCTGTATGTCATTTGTAAGGTGTTAAATGGAAGTTTTAATTAATTCTGTCTTTATATCAGACTAAAGGGAACAACTTAAATTGGGCATGTATATGTTGTTGTTGTGACCCTGTTTATCAATGCTTATTTTATCACTGCTAACATTAAATGTTGGATGTTGAAATTTAGTGGATATATACTTGATTTATTGGTATTATTGACTACTGGAGGATTGGAAAGTAGGCACCGGTATGGGACGGTGGCATACTAAGGATGGGTTTGGTTTTTAAATCAATACCATTACCCACCTACTTGGAATAAGAATGGGATTAACTAAAAGTTAAGTCCCGTGGATTTGTATTGTCATGGCAACTACTTGTTGAGCGGCAATACCAGGGATTTTGGATGGATTTTATATATGTACTGTTATGGTGCCTCGGTATGAGCTTGAGCCTCAGGATCGATGGCTAGGGAGCGTATATGCATCGGGATGTGTAGCTGGCTACGATGGTTGGGGGTGTACCCTGTTTAGGTATAGGTACATATGCCCACTTCGTGTGCGTTTTAGCATGTTACCTCTATTCAGGTTGAAACCGACCTGTAGTCCAGTAAGAGTCCTTTAGTGTGACTATATATATATTTACGGACTATTAGCTATTATTGAATTGTTTAGAATGTACATGCGTATCGGGTCTCTGTTTGGATTGTAGTAGTATAGAACTTGCGCGTGGGCCTGACCCACTTCTATTTTTTAGGTACACGACAGTTCCAGGCTTAGACGTGTTCGTGCTGAGCAGAGGTCTCTATTCACTCTTCTAACGATGCAGGACTCTCTCTATAGTTTTATTTCTAGACGTTTATTACATTTGTTCTATCTTCCGTTTGGATGTTTAATAGGGGTCCACTAGAGATGGATTCCCAAGTTGTAAACTGATGGAGTTTTGGAGTTTGGGTTTGATGGATTTTAATAATTATAATATTTTGCGGATTCTATTTTTTTAGTTCCTTCCAGCTTTAATTTCATTTCTTAATTTATTTTGTATTCCGTGTTCATTATAAAATATTAATTGTTTGATATTCCCTCGGGTTTGGGCCTGGGCCTGATCAACCCGTGTCTCGGATCCGAGGGGTGTCTCAGTTGGTATCAGAGCACTCCAGGTTCAAGTGTCTCTAGGATGTTTTCGTATTAAGTCTTCCGCGTAGCGTTTTCTCTTGAATAGAGCTTAAGTTAGGATTCATTGTATTCCTTATGGTTCGTATAGAAAGGGTACTGACGTCTGTCTTTTCGTGTTAACAGATGGTTAACGCTAGAAATGGACAGAACATGCAAGGAACTAGGAAGGAAAGGAGAATGGCACGTAGGCAACAATATCTCCTACGGCGTCAGCAAATGGAGGAAGAGCAGCAAAGGCTTGGGTTTCAAGATGACATGGATCAGTTTCATGAGGAACAGGAGAATGTTCAACAGACTCTGGACCAGGTCAGAGATCCAGAGATTCCTCTTCACCTCAATGACCTCGTTGCTCGGGCTATAAAGGCTGGGGTAACAGTTGCACTTCGGAATCAGCCTTAGGTACAGCCGGCACTTGTACCAGCACCAGTGGTTCAGACGGATTCTTTGGGAAAGGCTAGGAGCTCTTTCACAAAGGGGAGTCCACCTGTGTTCTCAGGCTCAACCGATGCGAGAGCAGCTCACCAGTGGAAACAGGACATTGAGTGCCATCTTCGTTTGGTTCAGTGCACGGAGGTTCAGAAGTAGATGCTTGCTACTTTCAAGCTAGTTGGGGATGCACTACAGTGGTGGGAGTCAGTTACCACCTCAGAGGAGAGGATGACATTGTCTTATGATGAGTTCAGTGCTCGCTTTGATGAGAAATATTTTCCCTATGCAGTCAGGGCAGCTACGAAGACCGAGTTTCTAAATCTGCAGCAGGGAAACATGATAGTGGCAGAGTATGAGCAGCAATTCACACGCTTATCTCTCTTTGCACCGGAGGAGGTGGATACAGAGGAGAAGAAGCGCAATAGTTTTGTCAAAGGACTGATGTGGTCTATCAAGAGAGCTATTACAGGTAGTCCAGCCTATACTACCTATGCTCAGGTGGTAGACGCCGCTCTACAACATTATCAGTTGACTGTGGACATCAGACAGGCTCGTGGTGAGAAGCGGGGAGATAAAGACTCTACTAATCAGTCAGCTGAATAGGGGAATGGCAATAGTCACTGGCAGAATGACAAAGGCAAGTTCCAAGGACAACAGCCTTGGAAGAAGCACAAAGGTGGTTCAGATGCTCACTAGAATGGGGCACCTATTCAGAGGCAACAGAATGGGAGACCACAGGCAGGACAGGGTCAGCCACAGGCTAACCGACAGAGGAGGCCATTTAGTACTTTCCAAGGTAGTTGTTACACTTGTGGAGAGTATGGTCATACCACCAGGCAGTGTCCTAAAGCAGGACAAGGACAGGGACAGAGACAGTATGTGCAGCAGGGACAGAGGGCGCCAGTGCCTCTACCAGCTCCACAGGTTCCACGGATTCAGGGACAGACGCATCTGGCTTTACCGGCACCGCCGCAGACTCAGGGACAGGCACCACAGCAGTTGCACTATGGCAGGGTGTATAACCCCATGCCACAGGATGTTCAGGCACCTCAGACTATTGAGGGTAAGTTTCTTATTTATGGTTTGCATGGACGTGTTTTATTTGATACGGGTGCTACACACTCATTTGTAGCTAGGACTTTTGTTGCTTTGTCTGGGATGAGGACGAGGGTATGCACTAGACCTCAGGGTATTTCTACACCATTGGGTGATACAGCTATTATACATGATAGTGATGGGCCTGTGA